TCGAACGAACGTGTTCATTTTGTAAGCATTTAGCAATCACCAGCTCAGCGCCGCACATACGGCATTACAATGTAGGTCTCAGTGAAAGTGTAAGAGAATTGTTAGAAAAACTACTTCACAGTATTTGCTAGTGCCACTTGGAATGACACATGCACAACATCAGTATTTAAGCAAACTTAGGCAGCACATTGCCCCAGAGTATGCTCGGGCACTCAGAGAGGGATGTCGGCCAAAAAAGTGAAGTACAAAATGAGCGGAACGCGAGTCTCTACAAAGAAAAAGATAGTAATGCGTCTTATTGTTAGTTGCGCTTTAGGCATGGAGAGCCGGATTCTGCACCCTCGCCGTTTTCCTGATCGACGCCTCAAGTTCTTCAAGACGGCGCGATTGTTCAAGTGATGCTCTTGTTGTTTATCCTTTATCCCAAAATAGAAGCGTCACGAAATCAAGAATTTCCGCCCCCCCCCCCACCCCGGAATAAATGTAAAGGAGTTAATCAAAAGTAGGAGCAGCATCGGCGCATAAAAGAGAAGAGTGGGTTCAATTTTCTAAGAGAGTGGACGGCCTAACGCACTCACAAATTCTCAATTCCAACAAGTATTGCCAGCGTTGTCTAAGCGCTCTATGAAATCTTATCTGCATATCCTTACTGTGCTCTGTACTTCCAATGACCGAGTGATAGTCAACTGCCTTGCAATGGAATCATTAGGTGTGATATGTTTTACACGTAAAGCATTCCGTACAACAATATCTCTTCACAACAGTGCACAAATCGGAGAAGTGAACTTCAATGGTGTTGCAGATTGCGCGCGGCAACAAACTATCCTTGTTTCAAAGGTTGCCTCCCTGGCCAAATTCGGTGACGTGATTGACACGTTGGTTCCCCTTGAAAGGATCGATACTCGTCTAGTTCTCATAGTGCTCCTTGTTTTGGTTGTATGACCTCATCGATGTGGGCAGTCGTGTCTCAGTCTCTTTCCCACTCTGCTTCAGGAGCATTCCGCACTTCCATACATTTGTAGCCATGAAATGAAAGCCGTGCTTGTATATTCAATAACATGTTGCTTCGAGCGGATGTGAGTGATATTACTGGAAGAAGTACGATCGGATGAAAATACCGAGAGCCCTTCTCAAAAATTTCCCCATGAGCGCTATTTCAAGGCAATTTTAAGGGAAGGCAATAAACTAAGGGCGTAATACGTTCAAACTGACGATTGATTCATATTCCCACGTTGGTCGTGAGCAATACAAGTGCATAAACATTTGCAAGATACCAAAAATAATGGTGTTGACACACTGCTACCTTCAACTCTAATTTTGTCGGGTTATTAAGGAAAAAATAAAGTCTTTGATCCTCACTTGCTCCTTCTCGTTATTAGCTGACTATCTGGAATAGGCAGGAACTATATTGTTATACAGTTCATAACCGTTTGGCGACCCTACCTGTCTGTTGGCCACCCCAAGTCGGTTGCATGGGATCATGGCTTGCCGACGGGCCACGGTAATTATTTCCTACTGCACAATGGTCCGGCCATGTCCTGCTGCAACAAAAAAATTGCAAATTTCTTTCTAGTACGTGGCGTCAACGTGCTAGAAAAGCATGCAAACAAAAACAAATTTCAATAGAATCGGTGAAACAATTATACACATCACTTGTGATAATTTTGGAAGCACTCGATGCAGTAGTGTTTTAGCGGTTGCTACACCAAGTAATTACTCCCTTCGTACATATTACTCGCAGTAAAGTTCGTTCTTTATTTTCGTGAAGCTCCTTGCAGCAACCAACGCATCTTCTGCGCTTCCCCTTCTGAGTGGTGTCTGCTTTTCCCAATCTGTGGATCTTTCTTAAAAATGAATCCCTATAAGGCTTCCCCAAAGTGGTAATTTACAAGACTTATCTTCAAATCGTTAACACGAGTATTTTGTTTGTTGCAACAGAAAGCCACCATGAATATTCGACTGCTACATATTTATATCGCAAATGAGAAAAAATACAGGTGTACCACTTCGTGGTGCAACGCACAAATAGAGAATAAGCTAACACCTGATCGCTCTGGTTCCACGAATACATTAGTTTGCTATAGTCCTCAACAAGGGCTGGTTTGTTCGACTGACTGAATTTTTTATCATGAGAAAATGTCTTATCATGTTGATCATCATCAAAAGTTCTTCCTTATATTTCTATTTCGAAACCATAATACAGTCTTTCATTTTGCCGATAGTACAGCTCTCCTCGTTTCGGTGGTTTCTTCCTTCACAAATATTGGAGTTCCGCAGCGGCTTCTTCTCATAGTAGCGACCACTCCGAAACGGGGGCCTCACACTGCCACCCTTCCACCTGCACCACGAGGGCTTTTACCACTGACTTGGAAACTGGCTTGAGAAAACGTTTATATTATCAGAAAATGAATGATATATACGAATGGTCTAAACAATCGCAGAAATAACTTTAACCAGGAATCAATCTTCCAAAAGAGAAGAGGAAAAAACCACTTTCCTTCGCAATAAGAGAACGGGAAAAAACCCTTTTTCACCAATCGCCCTCAAGAACAAAATACCATGAAAAATTTCACCGATCTTATGAAAAAACAGAAAAATCTCAAGCTTCTCGCAAGAACAAATAAAAAGGAGGAAAAACCGTCTCATATACTCTCGTCAGCTTTTTATACGGATCTAGGCCGATGCAAAAACATTTTCTGAGCGAGCGAAAACATTCGTATCGCCGAAGCATAGGAAATGGCAGCTTTTTTCAACATAGCTCATCTCTGAAACATTCGAGGAATCGCGGCCTCTTTCCGCGATGCACTCGTTCTTCTATCCAATACTTTTATTTAGCTAATCCTACGGAATTGTACCAATTGTACGAAGCTCTCTACCACTGTCTTGAAGCCCATCCAAAAAAGCGAACACGACGTTATCTGCTGACGGTCCATCTCGTTAAGTCTTGCCAGCGTAGATTTTTGTTTTCCACATGTTTTCCTCCTCGTGCGCAAAGCCTGAAAATCTTAATCCTGTACCTATGTCTCTTGCGCAGTATGGCCGTCGAAACAGCATATTTCGAAGGGGATGAGCGACTAGTCCATGGTTACCTCTCTCCCTGGACGATGAGTTTTCTCGCAAATAGCGTTGGATTTTTCAACAATTCTTTTATCTTCTATGATCGAAGGCCGTCCGGTGTCGCGTTGTCACAGAAATGAAGAGAACGTAAAAGCTGTTCGAAAAGACTACTTATCATACTCTTCCCCGCAGTTGAATGTCCTCCTATTGTGGGACGCGCGCTTCAATTATTCAGCGAACTCGACATCTTGAGGAGTCCCATTCAAAGCACAAGGCGAATTTGATAACGATTGCGCGGCCGAAGGCGGAAAATTTGGGGGGCACATTATTTCCTTGCTGTTGGTTAAGTTCACATCGACTTGTCATGGATAGGTGCGGAGGCGGGACAGATGCACCAGGCGACCAATCAAGCGCAAGGTGCTGTAGGTCGAAAACGAGGAGGCGGGGAAAAGATCGCGTGTAGATCTTGCTAGAGGCTAGTGGTAGGCGCGGGTAATTAAGACCACCTTGCCATCGGTGAATGCCTTGAGCGGGAAGAGGCCGTTGCGCGGCGAGGCCCTTATTAAGGGACGAGGAGAGCAAGGTGAGTGTTCAATTTTCGATTATTTTTGATTTTGCTGCTATTCCGTTTCCGGTTTTCTTTATTACACCCGCTGCATTTTGTAACATCCTCTTGTTAAAGCAAGCTACCTGCAACGGGTGAGTACCTTTGCGCATCCTGGTGATTAGTGACGACCAAACTTAGATGGAGCCCCCATGTCTCTGCGGCAAATCATAATAATTATCATAGAACAAAATTCTGATACTTAGGTATCTAACACAGAGTAGACTAGAAAATATGTTAGGAAATAGGAGGTGCAACGCAAAGAGCAGCATAAAATCTTTGGCAATAGCACTGCAAAATATCAAGCATAGCGTACACCATAAGAAGTGAAATCTTCACCTTCATCCAGGCTATTGCCGCAATCCTGCAATAAAAATTGTAGCCCATTTCTAGCCCAACAATAGGCAGCCTCTGATAATGGCGATACAAATTAGTTCCAACATTAAATATACAGTAATGCAACCGCGACGGAAATATTTGCAGCAGCAATGTACAATATAGTTAATGCACACACATCGCTTTGCCTGTTACCTCCTCTGAGTACTTTGAAAATTGTGTCCGTGACGGTAAATCTTTACACGTTATACTGCACTGCTTGTGTTTTCTGTAACTAGATGAACAGAAACTTCATAAAGACATATAATTGTCAGAAGATCAGGATTTATATCGTAGCAGAAACACGCCTATACAGACACTTTCGTCTCAAATATTGCACAGTTGAGACAAGACAAAGAGGAACCTTAAATCAGTAAGGAACCTAAGCTCACGGGTGAAACAAAATTGCTGAAACCTAGCTAGATGCAGCTTCTATACACAAATGATAAGGCAATTGAGGTCAGCTATCGCAGAATTCGGAATGAATCAACACCTGCATATGAATGTTTCGTTTTCCTCCATAGGAGTAGTTTCAGCCAGTTTCTGCTCTTGAATCTTCTCGGGAAGCAACTTTTCAGGCACTTTCCAGGCACTCGGAGGAGTTATATACATAGTTAACCTTGAAGACTCTTATAAACATCTATGACTAGCAATGTGAAATAGTAGCGGCTGACAATGTACAACTAACTAGATGACGTTATCAAAAATCTCAAGTCAATGAATACATAGCACAGAAATTCAACAAGCTGGCATGTATCAGGCAATCTTTGGACAACTTAAAGATCTCATTTGTTTCTCATATAAATCTTACGCAATTAACCATTACTATTGCAATCAATATTATCACAAGTAATCCCGTCGTCGCCATAAAGACATATGTCAAAGCTAAACAAAGAGTACGATACTGCGGGAAACTGATATTGTAAATGCAAACTACTCACGGTGCAAGCCGTCCATGAAAGCGCTATTTCAACTTGGACTAAAAAATAACGTTCTCCGTCCTCCGCAATGAATACAATGGTTTAACCCCCTACCTCGCAAAGACGTTGTGGTTCATCACTTCCGAACTCTTCTGAAGCTTTGGAGACTGCGTCCATAGGACAACTTTCCGCGCCTGTACAGCTCAAGCGACTAATCATTAGCTCATTGAACACATCGTGTGGCTCCAGGACGATAGTAGATCTGAGTATCGATAAAAACTTTTGTCAAAAGATCATAATGGTAACGTAGTGACTGCTCTTGATTTATTGAGTCGAAACATAGTATAGTAGCGCCTGCATAAGACCCAAACGTTTGGAGCAAACCATAGAAACATAAACCTATTAAGTGATGTTCTCTTCTTCATTACTCATAACTGATTATAATTTATATATTTATAACTTATCTGATCTGCAATTCCTCACGAAATCACGCGAAATCACGAAGCAGAACAAAAAATGTAATGAGTCCTTTCGAAGTTCTAAACTATTTCAATTAGAAACCATAGAATAGGTAACACTGACGACCTGGAGATGAAGTAATAAACACAATCTTCTTTTTCCCCCGGCCCCGTGGAACGGTAAAATGAAGCCTATGTCACTAGGTTCGTGTTTAAGCGCTTCATTTTTCAGTGTTTTTGTTTAATTTGAATCCTACTTCACTCTGCGCGCTAAAGCGGGCGCGTAAAACTGAAACTCCAGGTTAGCAACACTAAAAGGCTTGTTCAACCGCAAACATTGAGTTCTTGTTACAATCGTTAGCTGACCATCCAAACTGCCCATCTTTGCAGAAGCTCGCCGTTTGATATGCGCAGTGCAGTGCGGAGTTAAAGTAGTGTCTGTTAACAACCACCATGCATCGAATGCCAGTGTGATTTAGCAGTCGGATTGTGTTTGATGTTGAAATAGATATACCTATTACTCGTTATGGTATTCTTCGAACATTCCATCACATTAGGATTACTGAAGTCACAGCTCTAATGTTATATTTTGTGGTATGTAACAACACAAATAAGGAATCATGCAAAGAAATCTTCGCCTGAAAACTGATTTGAGTGACCTCTAGCAGTCTTGCCCTCGTAATCACTGTGCCCTACCAAAGATGTTCCCGTCTTATCCTCTACATCACTACTTGGAACCAATGCCTCACTGCTGCTGCGACACCTCCCAAAACATACCTAAAATACAGCGCTCCATTGTTGCAGGGAAGCGCGCTATGAATGTGCGTAACATGAACTGCTTGTTCCGCCTTTTGCTTGAAATTGGACAATCTGTACGAAAATACCAGCAATTACTGCAACTGGTGCGTGCCTTTATATATACAGGGGGGCAAAAAAAAGACATTTTGCCTATGTCGGACTTCCGCCCTTTTTTTCTTCGCAGAGATTGCCGGCGTTGACGGGAGTTCCTCAGCAGAGTATTCCCTAAGTGTCCCTCTATAAGTGAACGCAGGCCCTCCTTCACTGCCCTCACCGTCTTCAGAATATGACGTCATCTGTCACCGTCGTCAGGCTCAAGGAGGTCTACGTAAGAGCTTCAGCCTGAAGCTCTTACGCAATTTCGTGAATCGATTTAATGTTGGATACTTTTCTAGAGGCGTTAGCTCCCACTATACAAATCCCCTCGAAACGAGCTTTCCAGTAAAGGTCGTTATGGTACAGAATCCTTCGAAGACCCCATTGAGCTCGACCAGTGCACCATGTTTCCAGGGCAAATTCTTCTGTTGCCGTCCACGTGGGTGGCCAACATGAAGATTTTCTTATAGAATGAAATGTGCTCTTCAATATTAAGTTGGGAACACTCGGTCTCAATTGAGCAAAGTGTGCTTAAATCCATCTGAAAGTGGAGACAAAATGTCTTTTTTTATTGCCCCCCCCTGTATACGCGCTTGATACCTTGCACACAGAGCTGCTTCGTCTCGCTGTGAAAAACTTTCCTGCCAATCAGATTTAAGTCGTGATGAACTGGTAACTTTGATTCGATCTGCACCACCAACACGAATTTTCTTTCTACCAAACTCAGATAGAGACAAGAATCTCCCAAAGAGACTCGCCGTCCTAGCTGCCGTCGGATTTAGCCCCTTTCTCCACGCTCTAAAACCGTTGAAATCGCTAAATTGTCAAAATTGCAGAATCTAGCGGCTGCCATACAAAAACAGTAACAAATGTACATTCTCCAAATTTTACCTGCTGGTGCAGTGTCATGATTGCCACATTCACGCGACAGACTAAAGCTCCTCAATCTGAATACACGATTGAACATTATACGAAGTATACCACCAAGTCAATAGCAGAAAAAGGGTTTTCTAATGATGCCGTGATTTTCCGGATATATGACTAGACTTGATAAGCAATTCGCTTATGAAGGTTGGTAACCTGTCGCTAAATTTCGAAGTAGTAGTATAACGAAAAGATTATACCTATATCAGATTGTGCTCAAAAACTCCTCAATTACATTCAACCATTTCAAAGGAAAATTCCCCACAATCATTATTTGTGTAAGAATTAAGATTTCAAATTAAGAACTGGGTGAGCTCCCAGTGCATAATTTGAAATTCCTAAATTCTACACGCTGTATGGAGTAGGCTGTAGTGCTCGAATGACAATAGAGGCTTTGCATCTCTTCCTCCAAAAGATGCACCGTTTCAAAAAACCTCGAACACTTTCTAGTCCACGATGCTTCCCCAGCAAACGAAACATTTTTAAGGGAACCAGAGTTTTCTGCGAACTAGGACCCCAAAAAATTCAGCAGAACGGTCATGAACTTAAAAAGAACTGCAACGAACGTCACTGCTTCCCAAAAATGGTCTTGAAGTTTTTCATTCATTTTTTATCATGTGTGATATTATCAGTCACTGCGAAATATTTGGGACCAAGCAAATCTAAAAAAGTCGTGGCAACTGTGCCAATTTTATCCCATATGCAACACACCTGGATGTGTCGCTGCTAAAGACACACAACAGCTGCGAAGTTTCTCCGAGTGTGTATACCTCCGATCTATTGTCATCCCCTGTTTTAAAAGTGTCCATTATTTCTTTGTTTTATCTCACTCTCTACTTCCACATCCGCACATTTTCTCATATTGCCGTCTTAGGCATCTCCGCCGCGAGCTAAGCCGCAAGGTTGACATGCCGGTGCTTGGATTTACTGTTTTTTTCTAGACAGGCGTAAATTTAAACGTTCGCTAATGGGGTAACACCGTGAGCGGACCTCAGCCGGCGGGCAGCGTCGCGCGCGGTAGCTGGTGCGGCGATTCTTGCATGGGACTTGGCCTGACGGTCCTTGTCCATAATTTGCTGGTGGGGTTAGAAAACTGGGGGCGACGGACTTTTGGCTCGTCTGGACTGTCACGGCTTGCAATTCGGAGCAGGTCTTCGTGGGCTTATTTGTAGTCAATGAATCACGTGTGCAATCGCGATAAACCCATCACTGTCTGTCATGTAAAACATCACATTCCAGCGCATGGAGATATAACGACAGCGGTGATAGAAAGGAAACTTAAGTAGGAAGAGATAGTAGGAAGGAATAACATAGTTATAGGGCGTGGGGGGAGGGGAACATTCGAGAGAGTGAGCCAATTACTCCACCTGAAAGAAAATAACAAGCCCTCGGAGAGGAAGCAACTCCGGGGAGAGCAGAGACGTGTGACAATTCGTGTCTTTCCGACTTCGCTCCCTAGCGACCCCTACTCACCTACCCCCAATTTGGAATACCTCGTAAGACATAAGGCGCCACACACGCAAAGCATATATAGTTACAATAATATAAACCATCTCAGTAACAAAATTCCCAAAATTTCATTGATTACTAGCTTGAAAATAGTATCGATATTCCACGGAAGTTCCCCATCTTATCGCTGCGCATCACTGCTTTATTCAAAATCGCCTGCGCACAGAAAGTTTATTTGAAGCGCTAGAGTCATGCAAGTTATCCCGCCAATTCACACACCGCTTTAGTACGAATCTGCGTCAAAAACACCGAAGCATTGTCTCCACGATCCCGCGCATCCCGCGGCAGAACCCGGACAGCCAAAATCCCGCACACGAACAATGACAAGACCAAAAGGTCCCATGACATCATGAATCAACAATGCCCTCATATGAGAATGTGCGCCGTTTTTATGCATCACTAACAAAAGCTGTGTCATTGAAGGGCCTTCGAAGCAATAATGGACTGTTTTATTAATTGACTACCTGAACTGCTATCAAAAACGATAATCTGGCTCAGTCGGAAAATATTACGTTCCAAGACGCAGGACGGCGAGGAAGGCACTAGCATTAGTATCACAGAATAAGTTTGTAAATAATGGCAAGGGACAAGGAACCTGCACTTTAAGGGGGCAGGTGATCATTATTATTTCCTGTTGGTTTCATCTGACTGCAAAACTTCCATCTAATCGTACATTCCCCATCTAAAACGATAAAAAATTCTAGCTTCGGCCGACGCCGCATCTCAGGATGCTACGGCCGATGCGGCAACCTAGCCACAGCCACGATTGAATCGTCACGGCACCCCTTCTTTTCTATCCCAATTTGATGCAAGCAATCGTAGTTTTAATACAGTCGTGTCTTACGCTCTAGGTTCGTTCGGCATTTGAAAAATCCATCTTGGTAATTCTGTAGCGAACTACTGCACACAGTCAACCCTGCGTTGCGCAGTTTTCAACGGCCACGTTGCGCAGTTTCGCCCGATTAGACACGTTCTCTCGCGCGAACATTCACACTCGCATGCTCGAGCCGTCTGCGTCTCCGCCCATACAGCGTGCGTTGAGGATCTCTCAACGTGCCGTTGCGAACTGCGCAACGCAGGGTTGACTCTGCCGCCCTCCTAGGTATTCGGCGGCTTATTCTGAAACACAACACTTCTTACAATGCCTATGTTGCATCTAAGACTGCCCTTTGCTGGTTAAATTGCTAAGCTCAAAAAACTTGTTGCGCTTTGGCGACATTTATGTTGATGGTGATGTTTACTTTGCTTATCCTTCTTTTTCAGCATCGTATTAGATTTCACTACCGCAAATCTTTACATGCATGTTGGCAGCTTCACTAAGTCAAATTAAATTATGTCATACAGGCATTCTACATTCGAAGTGGCGTTCAAAGAATATAATGGACATTTTAATGATTTGCTACTCTCTACTACGTTTTTTGTAGTACCTAAACCATATGCCTTAACCACCTTATTGCAACCCTGATCATTCTCCACACTTCGAAAGCAACTGCTGCAGTGAAGTCCGGTCGGCCCTGTGGAGCGAGCGCTTTCTTCAGTATTCCCAAGGAATCCCAGCAACGCAGATATAGTGGCATCATGCTGTAAGCAGAGACTAGTAATAATGGCGATGTTAACATGAAACACTTAACTAAATGAATACAAAGAAACAGATGAACATACACGTTAAAATGTGAATATTAACACGTTGACGACCGCGCTATTTTTCGCTGTCTGGCGTGTGGGACCGCGCGCATTATTTTGACCGCGCGAGTGTGACATGACATCATGTCACACGGTCCCACGAGAACTCCTTTTTCTCAGGAAGTGTGTATTTGTTATCTTTCTTGTGTGGTAGGTCTCCGATTATGCGATTTTGGCCATTTTAGCGATTCCTGTGATTTGATCATTATTCAAACATTTTTAGAAAAACTCGATAGCCCATCAACCGAAGCTTCTTTCCAGGGACCACGCCTTTTGTAACAATGCCTAAGTATGGCGCATACATCACGTAAATAAGTTACCTAAAATGTTTGAAAACCAGCTTAAAAAAGACTGTGACATGACATCATGTCACACGGTCCCACGTGGCCGAAAGAGTGTGGTATGACATCATACCACACGGTCGTCAACGTGTTAAAAAAACTTCAAAGTACACTCAATTTGAAAATGAACACTCATCCTCATCACCTGCCTGAACGACACCGGTGTGTTTCGCAGTCGGCCGCGTGAGACAGCAGCGACTTTGCAACCGCCTCTGTGTCACCTAACACCCGTTTATTTTGGGGACTGGCACAAAGATGTCATGAGTGATTTCAGAAAGGATGAATACTCGGGAGCTCCCTAGATAGATGCCCAAAATAACTTAAACACAACGGAATTCAGCTGAAGTTAAATCAGTTTCACTCAAAACTGCGTACACGCACCTGTATGTCAAAACCACAAACAAGCGCCACGCATAACACACACCAAAAATGACGATGCCTTCAAGTAAATCTGGTAACTAAGCTGCAATCCTAATGATTGGAAAGGGCAAATTGAGTGTAAATCGTGACAATGATAGAATACAAGTGCACAGGCTAATCATCTAATTGGCAAAAAACATTCAACTTTTGTGAAGGCCGTCGTCACTTGTGGTGTGTGGTCTGCGCTAGACGCTCTTCTAGTTTTTTGAAACAGTGTGCTATTTTGCCTCGGCTTTATATCAAAAACAAATAAATATATATCATGCCGCCCATAAAATTGCAACTACTTCGCTGTGATCTTTAATAAACTTTAAATCAGTGAAAACTGAAGAGAATAAAACATGGAATCTCGTGAAGGTCAAAAACTCCTGCCTAAATCCAGCATTATCATGTGTTGCAAAATATACATTGTGCTTCAGTCACCATGGCGCTTCGCCTTGCCAACCGCATCCAAAAGCCTGCTGATCTTAAAAAAGTAACACTCGTAGGTATTCGCAGGTTCAAAGCTGGCATCTGATTTTTTGAAGCCTTGGACTTCTTCTTTTAGGGTGTCTTGGTTCACTACCACCGGTTTTTCCGAAAATGCCTGCGTGTTGGCGTCCGTATACTACTACCCCGGGCAATGGCTGTACAGAAGCGGCGATGACAGTCAGGGAGGTGGTTCTTCCCTGTATGAGGTCGCCGAGCACGCTTGCATTCAAGATCTTTGTCACCTCTCTTTGACAGGAACTCTTCGTGGAAGGCTTCACAAATAAACTCCACCATATCCACAGACTTCTTCCTTCGCAGGCAGTGCGCCTACTAGCAAAGGGTTCCAAGAGCAAGAGGAAAATATGAACCACGAGCGCATTCAATATTTGCAACAAACCCATAGAGGGTTATGACATGTGAAGTTTCGTCTAGCAAATCAATGAGACAATCCTGAATAGACGGTGCGAGATTCGTTATATGGAATACAAACTACTGTGCAATCTTTTCACTGACAGCCTCTACAAGAAAAAAGTGTTATCGAGAAAAGAAAAAAAAAAGAAAAGAAAGAAATATTCATGGCGAAAGAACTGCTGTTAACTGGCTACGTTCGAGGAATCATTGCATTTAAACAGTCCGATTTTCCCAATTCTTTTTTTGTAGACTATCCTTTATCTTAAAGTGAAATCAAAAATAGATGAACTTTTACCGTAGAGAATGCGAAGAACTTGACACCACCCAAGCTCTGCTCCACAGCCTTTTTTTGATTTCTTGCGATTGTGTATAACAGCTTGCCAGATCGTGTAATTATCCACGATGGATTATGAAAAGTAGCAGTCCCGGATAGAAATTCATGGTCTGAAAAAGAAAACTGTTTTGTTTAGCACTAAAGAAACTTTCAACTCTCCTTTATATATACCTGTGTGTATCTGTAAACAATATGTTTGGTGTCTCGAAAATGTTGAGTTGCGGTCATTTATCGCAATAGATAAACAACAAGTACCAACCGACAGCTTCACCGTGACCTGCGAGCACGTCCGCCGATTGAACTCGACGTCGTCGCTTCGGATTCATAATGGGCAAGCCAAAGTTATTTGTGAATGTACAGTCCACATTTATTATATTCGAGCATGACTGTGCGTGCGTAATTCTAATTGTTTATTGCGTTGCTAATGGGGAAATCATTGGCAAAGTCATAGTAGAATCCAAAAAAAGTGGGAGAATCATCATTTTTAGGTCTTGGAAAATCAATAGCATTCACATTATCTTCACATATCTTTTCCGCTTTTTAGAACTGCTACATACTGTTATGGCTTCTCGTGTCTACTATATCATGCAAGCGATTTCGGAAACCCAAACTGTGCTCTTCACTACACAGGAATTTTTTTTCCGATTTCGCCCTCGTCCGTTGCGAATTTCTTATTTTTTCGATAACTGCGTTGCTACAGAAAAGTTACAGAAATGTTCGATGGCTGGCGCAGATGTACTCAGGGGGTATCGTCACGTGGAAACACTCAGATTCTCCCACTTCCTCCCACCAGGGACCAAATTTTCAGGCGGAGTTGGGAGAGAGGGAAGCAAATATACAGTAGTGGCCAGAAATTTATGAACAAACGGTTTTTTCATGATTTCTCTTTTGAAAGTCACTGGAACGTCTCCAAATTTGCAACAATTATTAACTACGTGTTTTATGATCCACACAGAAAATTTCAACCTTCAGCTCAAATTTGGGTTTAGAAAATTTTAGATTTTTCGAAATTAATGAAGGCAGGTGAAAGATCACTTGATCCGTTTATTTGATTTAATAATGTATAACCCAACAGAGGGCGGAAGTGGTGCAGTGACAAGTGGCGCGCTCACCACGCGAGCGGTCCGGGATCAAATCCTGGGTCGTGAGTCGCCCGGGCCAACCAAGCCTTCCATCCCTCCGGGGTCGGTTAATTGGTACCAGACTTGTCTGGGAGGATAAAAACACTGACTTGTACATCGGCTGGCCCCGCAAGTCATTGTATAGGCCACATCGCATTCAAACGCCACTACGAATGTACAAATGGAAGTAGAATGCGTGCCGCATCCCAAAAGGGATTGATCAACGGCAAATGCTTTATCCTTTATCCTTATAACCCAACAGAACAGTCAAGTAAACAGTCACTAACATTAAGCAAGTCTAGCACATTGCCCAGAACTCTCTAAAGTATTGGATACATAAACTGGATTTGAATGCGGGGTCAACTAATGAACTCACTCTCTAGTGGGGTCTCTCTCTGTAGTCCCGTCTTTTCGTGGCTCTTTCATTGACATACGAATTTGTAGGTCCTCCCTAGTGGTTCTGTAATGGCTCAAGAGTCTGGCCTGGCTGGTCTTTTAAAAGCACCCCATGCTGTCGAAACCACTCCTGCATGTGAGAGGCCCGATGCTTTGAGTCGCTGCTCTGCTGACAGATAAAGCCAGGTCATAAGTTCGCATCGGTGCGGTCGGTGCCGACGGCGCCGACCGCACCGACAGCGTGAAGAGCGTCAATACGCACTCTGGCGCATGACGCGAACGTTGGGCGCAGATCGCGTGCTCCGATCGATAATCCTGGTTTTGGTGTAATTCTTGTGCTTTTCGATGTTTTTTTTCGCGCGCCGTGTTGCTGATTCGGTGTTCATTTCATACTATCTTTATGCCAATTGGCTCGGCGGGGGAAGTCGTGCGGCTCAGCGATGTAGTGTAACTCGAACATTCCAGCTTTTCACGGGACATTTCAGCTTCTCACGCATGCTAAGTGACTGCCCTCACCCCCCCCCCCCCCCCTGAATTGGCTACACTCCCCCTGGCTTGCGAATTTCCTGTTGCCCAACGCCCCGCGCGCGGCTGCCCCCCCCCTCCGAGCCACATTGCGCCCTTTTATGTCTTGATTAATACTTTCCAGTTGTTCCGCGGGCGAGCGACGTCGTGAACCCGTCGCACAACTCCGGGTGGATGTGGCCATACCGGGTGTGTTGGTCGTAAGCAATTTTGTTTATTCATATGAAGTGAGTGCAAAAAACATCGAAAAAATACAAGAAATACACCAAAACCAAGATTATCGACCGGAGCGCCCCATCTGCGCCCAGCGCACGCGTCATGCGCCAGAGCGCGTGTTGACGCTCTTCACACTGTCGGTGCGGTCGGCGCCGTCGGCACCGTCGGCACCGACCGCACCGATGCGAACTATGAAAGCAGCCTTAGGCCAGTCGTGACAGCATAGCCACGGATCATACATCTTCTGTCTTCTAGAATCTAAGTCTATACTACGTATTCCTTAGTTCTCAAAGTCTAAGAGAGCGCTCGCGCTGAAGTGGTAGAGTAGAATGTGATTGACTAAGCCTGAAAAGAAGGTTGACACAGGTTTCTAAGGTCATCTGGAATGACAAAAACATATTACTGATGCATGACAGCAAGGATACTAGTAATGTACGGCACCACGAGAGGGAACGTTTTGATCCAAAGAATCAGCTGCCAATTGTGAAACTTGGCGGAGGCTTGATAAGGTTGCCTTGGAAAAAAGTGGGACCACGCTACACGACTGAGGTAGCGATGAAGGCAGACGTTTGCTGTCATGTTTTGGAAGGTGTCATGTATCCTTAGGCGTGGCTGCCGCCCGACCTGACTTTGCCTGTCGCAGAGCACGACTCAAGCATCAGCCTCTCCACATCCAGCATGTTGACAGCATGGTGCTTCAAAAGATCACCAGGTCCACGACCCTCGCCAACACACAAAACCACAGGAGAGACCTAACAAATTCGTATTCCATGAAAAGCACGAAAATAGGTGTCCTTACAGATGAGAGACCGCCCCACTAGAGTGTGAGTCATTAGTTGACCCCGCATTCAAATCCAGTTTATGTATCCAATACTTTAGAGAGTTCTGGGCAATGTGCTAGACTTGCTTAATGTTAGTGACTGTTTACTTGACTGTTGTTACATTATACATATATACATTAAATCAAATAAACGGATCAAGTGATCTTTCACCTGCCTTCATTAATTTCGAAAAATCTAAAATTTTCTAAACCCAAATTTGAGCTGAAGGTTGAAATTTTCTGTGTGGATCATAAAACACGTAGTTAATAATTGTTGCAAATTTGGAGACGTTCCAGTGACTTTCAAAAGAGAAATCATGAAAAAACCGTTTGTTCATAAATTTCTGGCCACTACTGTATGTTCTTCCCTAAGTTCATCATATCTCCCAGGATCGTGGTCAATTTGCACATCGACGCCCCCTGACTATACTAGCACCAACCAGCATTTCGGAATGACAGAGTAGATCGAGAAGTATCTCCGAATTTCCACTGAGAAACTGGCACGTTACTTCCAGAAGCGCCTCATCAAGGAATCTTCCAGAAAAGTATGAGATAATAGCGTCCAGCACCACCCAAAGGTTTGATGAGATACGAAGCCTCTCCGAATAGGTCGAATATTATGAACCAGCCATCACTACTGCCCTAGCCAATTTCAGTGGGCCGCTCGACCGCTTTCGCAGCCCACGAGTGTCCAAGAATATCGATATCAGGCACAAAATATTGAAGTCAATTTTGACAATTTTTGTGGAAGTAACGTTAGATTCAAGGGCGGCAGTGGTGGAGTGGCAAGTGGCCACACGCGCGGTTCGGAGATCGACCCTGGGCCGTGCATTGTCCGGGTAAACCAAGCTTTCCATCCCTCCCGGGGTCGGTTAAGTTGTACCAGACTTGTCTGGGAGGATAAAAACACTAACTTGTGCTTGTTTTTTTTGTTAGCTGCTGTTTTAACGCCGCAGTTCGCCTTTCGCCCCAGGCGGGACTAGAACCCGCACCTCTCGCTTTCCGGGCAAGTGCGCTACCAGTTACGCTACCGGGGCACCATTTCATTCCAACTCAGCTTTTCATGGTATACGTACCATAGCTTTCAGCACTCACACGTATAACGTGTTGAGCCGGTTAGCCGATATCGGCAATGACCGCGAGGCTGACTTGGGCATCGGACGACCCCCGCAGGTCATTGTATAGGCCAAATCGCATTCAAACGCCACTACGAGTATGGCGTCCCATACCACATCTCAAAGTGCTCTGAGGGTATGGTATGACTTTCAAACGCTATCAGAACCACCTTTCAGATCACTAAATCTGAGTGAGTGAGTAGAGCACCCTTTATATGGCCCAAATTACGGAAGGAAGGAAAAACTGTCGATTTGATAAGTCCTGATTCTCAAATTTTGACAACAAACAAACAGGTCAAAAGTCCTGATTATATTTGCAGAACCGCTGCTTAATTCAACGCCGCTTCTTGTCACTGCTGTGCATTGAGACGTTCTAAAATTTCTTCAAAATGCACACGATCTCGTAGGTGCCATTGGCACATGAAGCGGAGAAAAGAGAAAGGGGTTTTCTTCCCCTCTAAGTACGTGCAACTTCATCTTTCTCCTGGTTCATCTTTCATCCTTTACTAATCATAATTAAGAGCGTCATCTAACAATAAAATCACATCTAGAGAGCATTTTTATCTTACCAAATCAAGCAAGTGGTCAGCTTCTTTTCTCGCCTCGTCATCGAACCATTGTGGCACAGCGAGGCCGGCGTCATGCTGTAATAGGAGCTGTGATAGACAAACGTTAAAATATTTACTTCAAAACTGCTACACTAGAATTATTCATTCATTCATTCATT